ATCTCAGTGTTAATTATTTCCAAGGGTTGCATATTATTGTTAAATTAATTGTTGGAAATTTGCTTTGGGTCCTGGCAAATGAGATCTGTGCCAAAACCTGCCATTTCTTGTGTGTTCTTTAATTCTGAAGAGTAGCAGAACTCAGGCTGCTGGTAAAACCTCTCTGAAACATTTTGTTCTTGAGGCACCACTGTCCCTTCTGTGAAGTGTTAAACGCAAAGCTCACAATGATTTTCCAGTGCTGATAATTTTTCTGCTATCACAGAAGTTGTCCCTTGGCTGAGTGCTGGCACTGTAAACACAGAGAGCCCTTAAGCCAACAAAGCTGTTCCGATGACGTGAAATAAAAATGCCTTTATTTTTTCCTTTTCCAAAGAGTCTTCAAATAGCTTTCACCTTCCCCACCTTCCCATGAATGCATCTTTTGTTGCTGCAGGTGACCAGGGCGATGGGTGACTTCAGCAGCAGCAGCAGGGCTTGGAAATCAAAAAGAGCTGTGAGATCATTGTGTCCAGCAGTCGGCCCAGCCACCATGGTCACCACTAAACCATGTCTCCAGGTGCCACATGCACTTGGTTTTTGAACACCTGCAGGGACAGGGACTCCATCAGTGCCCTGGCAGCTTCTGCCAATGTCTGACACCCCTTTCTGTGAAGAAATTTTCTCAATATCCAATCTAAATCTCCCCTGGTCCAGCCTGAGGCTGTTCCCTCTTCTCCTGTCCCTGTTCCCTGGAGCAGAGCCTGACCCCCTGGCTGTCCCCTCCTGTCAGGAGCTGTGCAGAGCCACAAGGTCCCCCCTGATCCCCCTTTTCTCCAGGCTGAGCCCCTTTCCAGCTCCCTCAGCCCTTCCTGGCACTCCAGACCCTTCCCCAGCTCTGTTCCCTGCCCTGGACACGCTCCAGCCCCTCAGTGTCCTTCTTGTGGGTTCACTATAAGAAAGATTTGATGTCTTTTGACCCGTGCTGGTCCCTCTGCAGCTAGGCCAGCAAAGCCTTTTGTTTTGAATTCCTAATTGCTGTAAATTTGAAAGTTTCTAATTTTTGCAGCCTTTTTGTCTGGCAGCAGCAGCTGTTAGATCTGGAAGAAGCAGTTGTCATCCAGTTGTCCAGAGCAGCTGTGGCTGCTGCATCCCTGGAGGTGTCCAAGGTTGGATGGGACTTGGAGCAGCCTGGGACAGTGGAAGGTGTCCCTGCCCATGGCAGGGGTGGCACTGGATCAGCTTTGAGGTCCCTTCCAACCCAAACCAGTCTGGGATTCTGTCTCCCACATGCATTCAAGTGCTGGACTCCAAAACCTGCAGGTTTGCATGAGCATTACAGCTCACCTGTCACACATTTGGGCTTTTCTGTATTTAAAGCATCTCAGCTATGTGCTGTGGAAGGCCTGAAAAAAAAAAAAAGGACTTTTCTCTGGAATGATTCACTGTAAAATAAGTTTTACCTTCACACAGGTGACCTTGTCCTCCCACTCTTCTTTAATGTCAGCTTTGTTTACTGCCCTTGCCTGTTGCCCAAACTAGAAGGACCAGTGAGGAGTCTGGCTCAGGGAAGCTTTGTAATAATCCAGCTCCACCTTGGAACTGAGGCCTCATGTCCCTCAATCAACATGACAGTAACCAGGAAAAAAATACATCAGCCTGTTTTTTTTAGGTAGAATCTTGTTCTGTGTTTCTGTATTTTCTGTGCTGCAATGGCTGATTTAAGCACAGCTCAGTTGGGTGTGTTCTAAAGAAGTTCTGGGTTAAATGTAATGTTCACTGAGGTTCTGCATAGAGACCTCTGTGTCTCTATTAATATAATGCATATAATTATTAATTATATATTAATGATTAATGTTAATAACTTATTTTCTGTGATATTGATGGCAACCTCACCTTTTGTTTCTCAGGATGGTTATTTCATATGTCTGAGGTACACTAATTTATTAAAATAGTTTGTACTTTGGAAAGTGTTTAGTTCACAATCCTGCAAGGAGCTGCCATCTCAAGTCTCATTACCCCGAGTGCCCAGGATAGCCAAGGGAAGAGGAATAAAGGAAAACATCAAGCAGACTCCTTTGAGTGTCAGATCCCAGTGACAGGAAGATCCTTCCCTTTCCTGCTTCCTGGGAGTGTAATTTGGCAGCTGAAAAGCTGATTTCAAAGGCAGGTTGAACATCTCTGGTTTGGAGACTTGAGTGTTTATGCCTCATCATATATGTATGCATATAAATATATATAAAATAGATACAGATACAAGTATAATATACAAAGACAAATATATAAATAAATACTTTTGTATAAATGTTATATATTAAATATATAATATATATATAAATGTTATATTAAAAATATATTTTTGTATATATGTTTTTGTATAAATAAAACCCCTCATGCTGTGTGTCTGCTGCGTTATCTGCAGATGCATATGTATGCATATAAATATATATAAAATAGGTACAGATACAAGTATAATATACAAAGACAAATATATAAATAAATACTTTTGTATAAATGTTATAATATATATTAAATATATAATATATATATGTTATATATAAAAAAATATATTTTTGTATATATGTTTTTGTATAAATAAAACCCCTCATGCTGTGTGTCTGCTGCGTTATCTGCAGATGCATATGTATGCATATAAATATATATAAAATAGATACAGATACAAGTATAATATACAAAGACAAATACATAAATAAATACTTTTGTATAAATGTTATAATATATATAAAATATATAATATATATATATATAAATGTTATATATAAAATATATATTTTTGTATATGTTTTGTGCTAGAGGTGAACAGCAGCCACCACATCTGTGCTGGGGTTGCCCTCTGCTTTCTCTGATCCTGGTATATTTAAATAGTTTTGTTTTCTGCATGTACAAGGTGGCTTTTGTTTGGTTAGGGTTTGTTGCCTTTTTTTTGGCAAGTCTCTAGATCCAGACTGTTCTGTGTTTGCAGGCCATCTGATATTTAGCCTTGCATGAATTATCAGGCTTTCAGCTGTTCCCTTCAAATATTTGTGCTGAATTTTAGTTCTCAATCCAGATTAGAGAGTAGTAGCTGACTCCTGCAGGCTCCAGTGCACTGTTCCTTTCTGCCAGTGTGGAGCTGATGTTTCACACCATGGTCAGAGATGAGCTGTCTGCTCCTTATCACTTCTTAGGCTGATACTGCCCCTAACAATTCTGATAATCTTTACACAGCCTTGCCTTGATGCTGCTGCTGTTTGCATATGGGTTTGTTCATGTTTTTACCTTGTTACCTGCTTTTCTTCAAGGTTTCCAGCCAGGAATTGCTCTGTCCAGTGCCTGCTGCCCTGGATTGTCAGCTGCTCCCTCCCTGTGTCCCTGGCTGTGCTGGGTGTCCAAGTGAGGAGCATGCCCTGGGTTTGGAAACACTCTTTGTGTCATCATTACAGCTCTCTGCAGTAGCTGGAGGGGAGCTGCTTTTAGAAATAGCACCTTGTTCCTCTTTCCCCACGTTTCTGGCTCTGAGCAGGGCTCACACAGACCTGTGGAAGGTGGTGACATCACGCTGCCGTTGCCCAGAGTCCCTGTTCAATCAGGAGCTAATTGGTTTGGAAAAAACCCTTGCAAACCCACAGGGATAAAAAGTATTTTCTGAAACTGCTGCCTTTATTTTAACCCAGCCTCTTTAATTCTGCTTCCTTGGGGGCCAGTTCTGCCAACTGCTAGACAGATTATTTTCCTGTTGCCAAAGGAAGTTCTGCATTTATGTATCCTCTCTAAAAAATCCCAAACCTACCTCTGCCTCCTCCCCAAAAACCCCAAACCCCTCAGTCTCACGAGAATGGTAGAAAAGCTCTTTTAACACTGTCTGTTTCTGACCATTACAAGAAATTCTGTCATCCCTCTTACACCTGAGAGGTTTTTTATTTTCTGTTTTCTGTCTTTTTCGCTTTTTGTTTGGTTCTTATGCATATCCATGTTGGAGAGCCAATTTTGTACCGTCCTTGTAGCAGAGAACAAAAAGCTCCTCTGGAATGTCATAATCCAGAGATTCTGTGATAAAACAAGGATTGAAAACAGTTCAGCGTCAAAAAGCAGCTGTTAATGTTCCTGAGGCTTCTGTCATTGTTAGAGTCCTGGAATGGTGTGGGTTGGGAGAGACTTTAAAAATCATCCTGTGCCAGGGCCTGCCCACCCTGCCAGGGAACAATTCCTGCCCAATCTCCCATCCAGCCCTGCCCTCTGGCAGTGGGAGCCATTCCCTGTGTCCTGTCCCTCCAGGCCTTGTCCCCAGTCCCTCTCCAGCTCTCCTGGAGCCCCTTCAGGCCCTGCCAGGGGCTCTGAGCTCTCCCTGGAGCTTCTCCTCTCCGGGCTGGATGTGGAAGGAAGGCCATCAAAGGGACTTTTCTGGAAATGGGAGTGTAGAAAAGGGAGTTGTTTTGGGTGTTCAGTGTTTTTGGTGGTTGCTCTGAGTGGTTGTGTTGCCTGTTGTAGTTTTTCCTTCCTACCAGCAGCTCTCAGTTTGTCAGTTCAGATCAGAGTGGTTTTCCTGCAGCTGCCACGAGAAACACTGAGCCTTGAAGAATTCTGGAAGTTTTTAGTGGGCTTTAGGTGTTGGCATTCAGAAGTGAGAACCTAATCCACAGTTTCTCACTGGAATCCTCTTTCCTCCTTGGTGGCTTCATTGAATTAAGCAGATCTGTGCACAGTCAGCTCCCCTTGGGCCTAATAGAGTGATTATTCTTTGGTGCCCTGAAGAATATTTAATTTATAGAGCTTTTCCATGAGTCTTAAAAGCACTTTGTTAACAGATCTTCAGTCCTGGGAGTAGGTTGTACAATCTGGTTTAGGCCAGAGAACATCACTGGTGGTTTTTGGTATCCAACATGTATTTATTCTGTGGTGCAAGAGTGTTGCTTTTGGTTGTGTCATTCAGTGTTGGGGTTTGATCAGAGCAGACCTTAAGAAGACCTCTTTTAAATTTTACTTGAATTGCTGTCAGTAAATGACTATTTTTCTCTTACCAGAGCGAGGCTATGATCCCTACAACCCCGAGCTGCCCAGGCCCTCGCTGGAGGTGGAGGATGGCCTTCTGGCTGACATCACAGATGTCACACCTGGAATTCTGGAGCTGGAGCTGGTCAACAAGGCCATTGAGGCAGTGAAAAACGAAGTGGAGAGGGAGCAGAAGAAGTATGAGGAGCTGCTGGAAACCACGAAGGAGTTTGGTGCTTCAGAGGGCTCCTCACTCATTTCAAACACACCCGTGTCAGCTGCTGGGCCTCAGAATGATTCCTTTGCCTCATTGGAGTACAATCCAGGGAGCTACAGCTTCAATAATAACTCAGATTACAACCCCACTCCTCTGGCTGCTGCTGGCCGATCCAGTAAATACACTTTGGATTCCTCCCGCTCCAAAGGGAGCTCCCTGGAATACGTCCCCAAGGCTGTAATACAGAATAAAAAATACAGCAGCACTGTCACTAACAACAAATACGTGATTGATGACTCCAAGCCTTCCACAGACTTGGAATATGACCCCCTTTCCAATTACTCTGCCAGGCTGTTGGGCAAAGCCACAACCAAGGGCTCCAAAAGGGAAAGGGCCTCTGATTATGAGGACTCCTACTCTCCATCACGGAAGAAGCTCTGCGAAGATCCCGATGATGATGAGGTGTTGGCCAGGTTCTCCTCCTCTGAAGATGAGGCTGAGGTAGAATATAAAACAGCTTCTGGTAGTTCACCCTCAAAAGCTGGTTCTGAGAGTGAGTCAAACGAGTTCTCCAGCAAAGAGCAGAGCACAAAAGTGGATGGCTCCGCTTCCCAGGAGAGCAAAGAAGCAGCACAGCACAGGGAGGACCTTCCAAATTCACAGAAAAATCTTGCCAAGAACTCATCTGACAAGAACTCAAAGGCAGCGAAGTTGTGTTCTGTTAAGAACAGCAAGGAAATTGAAAATAAAAACAAAGATTCCAAAGACAAAACAAAAAAGAAGAAAATAGATGTTAGTAAAGCACCAGGCCTCAGTGAGGCTGGGAAGAAGGAGAAAAATAAAAATGCAGACAAAGACAAAGCGCTCAAGAAAGAAGAAAAATTAAAAACCAAGAATGAAGAGAAAAACTGCAAAGACAAAAGCATCAAAGTGAAAACAGATGGGAACTTGAAGAAACCTGAAAAACAGAAGTCAGAAAAAGTGGATGGGCATAAGAAAGAAAAATCCAAGTCCACCACCAGCAGTTCAGGGAAAAGCAAGAGCGAGGGTGTCACCAAGGGCACAGAGAAAGTGGGGAACAGCAAGAAGGATTCACAGAGCAGAACAGCTGATGTGAAAAATGGCAAGGAAAGCTCTGGTCGTAAAAACAAGGAGAAAGGGACCAAGACCTCCCTGGAGCGAAAGAAAGACAAGGTCAGTTGTGCAGGACAAGGAGACCCCAAGAAGGGTCGGAAGCAGCAGAGTTTGAGCCACGTGGACCTGTTTGGAGATGAGAGTGGAGATGAGGATGACAAAGGCCGGCCTTTGTCCTCCTCCTTACTTGATGTGAGCTCGGACTTGGATGGGGCTGACTCTGGCTCAGCCTCTGACAGTGACAAGGACAGGAGGAAGAAAGTGAAGCGCTCGAAGTTATCCAAATCCTCATCATCTTCCTCAACATCTGATGACATTGATTATTCCATCCTTGAGAAAGATGTGGACTTCGAGACAGATCCCATGGAGGAGTGTCTCAGGATCTTTAATGAATCTAAAGATGTAAAAACTGAAGACAAGGGAAGGCTGGGCAAACAGGTAATGCTGGGTTGGGGCTGTTGGTTCTCTCCCCTCCTGAGGTGGAAGGATTCTGGTTTGGTTTAGTGGTGCTGCTTGTCTCAAGTAGCTGAAGAGGGAGACTCCATGTGTTGGAAGAATCTCTTCCTTGTTGTGACTGAGTGCTTGGAAGTGAATTTGCACCTGCTGGATTGAAAGCTGCTGTGAAATGCAAGGGTTCAGTCCCCTTTCATGTGGAAGGCTTTCAGCTTTCAGGGTTATCAATTCCTTCTGTCTCCATCTGGCCTGAGAACCTTGGGGGTGTGGATGGCTGGAGAAAAGGCTGCAGGGGAGTGAGTTTGGGGGTTTCAAAGCCAATCCAAGGTTGCCAGTCTGGGCACTGCCTTCTTGTTGCAGCAGAGTTTAAGGAGCACGGGGGCAGGTAGAACTTGGACAGGTTGTTGGTGCAAGTCCAGTATTTGTCAGACACTTTGGAGACTCCCCAGATTCATCTTTGCTATTCTAAATGCATACTACAGGTAGTTCCTCAGGATCTCTAAATACCTTGTGGGTGGTGCAAGCAAGAAATGGAGGGTAAAATTTCTTCAATGGTACCAAGGGCTTCAGACTAAGGAGGTAAAAAAGACAGTATTTACATAAAAATAAAATAGTTGAAAGACACATCATCTGTAGCAGGAATTACTGATCAGTGAATTCAGAAAGTGCTGAGCCAGGGACTGTCACTCACAGCCAACAGTGAATTGTGGCCTGGAGTGACAGAGCTCAGCTGTCAGCAGCTCCTTTGCATCCCTGTGCTGAGGTTTGGTTTCCTGCTCCTTGGGGAAGGAGGCTCACTGCACCCAGCTCACAGGGCTCCTTCTTTGGGAGATGGGTGTCTGGGGGTGGGATTGGCCATGGGGCATTTTTTTTTGTTTATGAAATGATTTCCTAGATGTTCCCATTGTGGTTTGACACTGGCCAAACACCAGGCACCCACAAAAGTGACTCCCTTGCCCTGCCCTGCTACAGCTGCATGGTGGAGAGAAAAAATTCAAACCAAGGGTTCATGAGTTGAGATAAGGACCAGGAGCTGTGCATGGATCTCTGCACCCTCCATGGATCCCCATGGGCTGTGGATGGATCTCTGCATTCCCCATGGATCCCCACAGGCTGTGGATGGATCTCTGCATCCCCCATGGATCCCACAGGCTGTGGATGGATCTCTGCACCCTCCATGGATCCCCACAGGCTGTGGATGGATCTCTGTATCCCCTGTGGATTCCCAGGGGCTGTGAGTGGATCTCTGTATCCCCCATGGATCCCACAGGCTGTGGGTGGATCTCTGCATCCCCCATGGATCCCCACAGGCTGTGGATGGATCTCTGCATCCCCCATGGATCTCCAGGGGCTGTGAGTGGATCTCTGCATCCCCTGTGGATCCCCATGGGCTGTGAGTGGATCTCTGCACCCTCCATGGATCCCCAGGGGCTGTGAGTGGATCTCTGCATCCCCCATGGATCCCACAGGCTGTGGATGGGTCTCTGCATCCCCTGTGGATCCCCACAGGCTGTGGATGGGTCTCTGCATCCCCTGTGGATCCCCACAGGCTGTGGATGGATCTCTGCATCCCCTGTGGATCCCCACAGGCTGTGGATGGATCTCTGCATCCCCTGTGGATCCCCATGGGGTGTTGGTGGATCTCTGCATCCCCTGTGGATCCCCAGGGGCTGTGAGTGGATCTCTGTATACCCCATGGATCCTACAGGCTGTGCATGGATCTCTGCATCCCCTGTGGATCCCCACAGGCTGTGGATGGATCTCTGCATCCCTTGTGGCTGTGGATGGATCTCTGCATCCTCTTTGGATCCCCATGGGCTGTGAGTGGATCTCTGCACCCTCCATGGATCCCCAGGGGCTGTGAGTGGATCTCTGCACCCTCCATGGATCCCCAGGGGCTGTGAATGGATCTCTGCATCCCCTGTGGATCCCCACAGGCTGGGCTGATGATCCCTGAGGGTCCCTTCCAGCTCAGGATACTCCAGGATTCTGTGATTGCAGGAAGCTGCATGTGGATAGTGCAGTGCTTTTCTGCCTGGGAGAATTGCATTGTGAGAGAGTTTATTTGGGGTGTAAGTGAATTAACAGACTCTGGGGTTCCTGGGGAGACAAGTGATTCAGGGTGAGGTGCTCATCCAGAGTGCCACAGCATTATCCCAAGTGGTGCCTGAGCTCATCCCTGAATCCAGCCTTGGCTCTGTTGCTGAATTTCAGAGATTGTCAGGCTCATGTCAGAGTTTTGCCAGGAGATGTTTTGAGAAACCGAAAACAAGATGTCTGGAGAGCAGCTGGAGTTGTGTAAAAGAAACTTGTGAGGTGTTTTGTGTCAATTAACAGCTGAGTCAAATTTCAAGCGGATTTCCAAGTGGTTCTCCTTGTGCAGGAGCAGGTCTGAGGTGTCAGCTTGGTGTAGCTTTGGCTGGAGAGGTGCTTCTGCCTCCCTCTGAGTTTCTGGATGTGACCTGGACTGTGTCACCAGAGTCTTCCTGCAGTGACAGCTGTGGCTGAACCTGCAGAAAATGTTTCCCTAAATGTGGGGTGAGGGCAACGTGGTTTGGTGGTGAGCAGGTGTCAGCACCTGCCTAGGGCAGAAATGAGTCAGTTCCCAACTTCTTAAAAAAACCAACGCACCCCAAACCCCCTGGAGTGTGAAAATGCCATGGGAGGTGAGTGTGTGAGTGGCTGGCAGGGGAGGGCTGTTCAAGGCTCCTGTAAGGAGTGAGTGGCTGGCAGGGGAGGGCTGTTCAAGGCAGGTAAGGCTGATGCTGCCTCGTGCCAGCTCACGGAGCTGCTGCTGGGGTGGGAATGTCCTGCTGCTGTTCCTTGGCTTCCTTGGCAGCTCCTGGGCTCACAACAAGGTTCTTGTCAGTGGCCCAGCAGCTGGCAACATGTTCTCACCTGTCCTCTGCAAGGCTAACCCAAAAGGAGACTTTCCACATCTCCCTCTTGCCAGGGATCTTCAAGTCTGTTCTCCTGTTCTTTTGTTTTCCAGCCATCCAAAGAGGAAGCAAATGAAGAAAAGACAGAAGATAATTTAACTACCTTGTTTCCTGGACAAAAAAGAAGGATCTCTCATCTTGTCAAACAAGGAAATGTAAGTGGAGATTTAGAGGCAGATTAGTTTAGGTTGTTCCAAGTGAGGATTTTCTGTCCTGGCCCTGGAAAAGGCTGCACTCCCAGGGCCAGGCAGCAGTGTGAGAGCTGTTTGTGCTGGAATCAGTCTATGGCAGTTTTATTTCCTCTCTTTCCAGTTCCTCAAAAAAACTCCCATGTTTATGATCTGTTAAAAGTGGCAGCAGAACTGTCAATCAATCTTCCTAAAACCAAGGGTAGGCTGGGAAGAGTGGATTGTGCTTTTGATAACCCCTTGGGATAGGTTGGGGTGTTCCTTTTTCTCCAGTATAGCTTAATTTAGAGTTTTCAGTAAAAATCAGCTAGTCACAAAGTCACTCTATGTCTGCTGGCATTTTTCTGTGCCTTGTGGATCTAGAAGATACTGCAGGAATTTGGTCAGATGTTTAAAACCATTACCTTACATCTACTCTGAACCAGCCAAGATCTCAGCAATATTTGTTTGGCTATTCTTCTTTCCCAGTTGTGCAAATACAGAGAAAAAGAATTAAAAAAAAAAAGCCAAGAATACATTCTGATTTTTTTATTCCTTTCTCCCTGGGATTTTAATTCATGTTTTCTCTGAGGGTTTAATGTGTTTCCCTCCAGGTGCTGATCACAGATTAGTTTTATGTTGCAGCAGGATAAGAGTGGAGGCTTGTGCACTAATTTGAGCTGGGTAGTCCAAATTAATTGTTCTGCCTTTCCTCTCTGTCTAGGGAAGGTTTTTTTTGCCTTTAATAATTTGAAGTCCTGGAGTCAATACAATGGGTTTTATTTAACTGCATATCTCCAGCCAGTTCATGTGGTTTGATAAGGGCCCTTTCTTCCAAAGTGAAGAGATAAGAGACTGAAGCAAATGGCTTGGAAATTCATTAACTCAAATATTTATTGCAAAGAGGTACCTTTTAGACACGTACAAATCTTTAAATATATTTTCTTAATGTGACAGCTGATTCCAAAATGCTTTCCAAAGATGGGAGCCCCAGCACAGCCTTTGCTTGGACAAACAGAGCTGATCTGGTGTGCTCAGCTGCCAGGGCAGCTCCAGGACCTGCATTCCCTGCAGTATCTCAGCTCAGAGCAGCTCCCAGCTCTGCCCAGGAGGTGCTGTAACGCCTCAGCTGCCACTTTTCACATCAGAGTGTGCTTTGCTGTGTCCCTCCAAGTGGAATATTTGCTCAGTCTTGCTCATGATTTATGGCTCAAGGACTGAGCAGGAGAAGGGGAGGGAGCTAAGTTCGGGGTTGATTGCCAGGGGAAATGGGGGCCAAAGGAATTGCAGGTGAGGCAGAAAATGAGTGGCCTGTCCTGCTTGGAAGTCTGTAATTATAATTTAATGTCTGACTGTACTCAGTTTGGTATCCAGAAGCTGTCAGCATCAGAGGCCGGGAATGCAGGAGGTGCCAGCTTGCCCCCAGGTGTTACACTGGGCCACCCTCCTCCAAGGGGATTTCAGGAGGGAAGGCCTGTTCCTCACATTTCAAAGGCTGTTAAGTAGAGGTAGAAGTTTGTACTACTGCTGCTTCTCTTGCACTTCTGGTGCTAGGAAACTTCTCTCTTTGCTGACATAATTTCTGGCACTTTTCCCGCAAAGCTAAATTTGGCCATCAAAGGAAACACGTGTGGAACCTGTTTGTGCTGTAACAGCCGAGGCAGTGAGGTGCCTCCAGAAATGGGCAGGGACAGAGCCTGTTTGAAATTCAGAGCTCAGTTTATGTAATGCTCTGATCCCATAAATACTTCTCTGTGAGGCTTTTAAGCAGTTCCAGGGCTGCAGAGAGGTGGGAGCTGCTGTGGTGCAGAAGTGGATGCAGGGGTTCCTCAGGGAGAGAGCAGTGGAGCTCAGTGTTGTGTGGCAAAGAGGAGTGGAGAATTATTGTCACTTTTTTATTGCAGTAGAAAACAAAGTAGGCAGCACAGGGCTAGGTCTGTGTGCTAGGGCAAGGCTGAGGGTGTTGGTAGAGCCCAGGGCTGGGCTGGGCACAGCCACGGGGAGCATCACACCACTAAAAGCAGTTCATGAATCCCACCTGCCCATTGAGGAGCGTGCCAGTGAGCTGGGAGGCCTTCCCAGAGCGTGAATCATTAATGCCGTGTTTGTTGAAGGATGACTCCTAATTATTTTGTTCTGAAGGACACTTGGGATCTTGTCCTCTCAAAACCCTGCACTTGCTAAGGGAGGGGTTGAGGAGAAGAGACCTTTCTGGGGTGAGTGGAGGGCAGGGGGTGTGGATGGAGCAGGGCTGGCCCTGATGCTGTTTGTCTGTGCAGGCAGAGGCCCCGAGCAAGCCGGTGGTGCGGCCCTACCGTCCCCCCACGGCCCAGGAGGTGTGTTACCAGAGGATCCAGCTGGCTCAGCAGCAGGCAGCACAGCTGGTTGGGACTGTTCAAAAGACCTCTCTCTGTTTGCCAGGAGAAAAGAGGAGGATTGCTCACGTGCCAAATGCAGCCCTCACCGCAGCAGCCAAGCAAAGTAAGCCAGCGGCGGGATTTGGGATCGCTGTCCTGTCCTCCCCTGGTCAAAGGCTCTACTGTGTGCTTACATTCCCCCTGAGCACGTGTAAAACTGTCAGGGGATGTTTAGGGCTGGCCATGACTTGAATCTTTGCTGGTGGTGTCCAGTGGAAGGTTTCTCCCTGAGAAATTCCGCCCTGTTGTGAAAAGCAGCGTGTACAGCCTCACCTGTCTCACCCAGCCTCCCTCACTTCAGCTCTCCTATTTCTGTTTCTTCCTTGGATTGTGTTTGCTCTTCATTCCCTCTTCCATGTAAGCCTGGAGGTGGCAGGAGCAGGAGGGAAGTGCTAATGAAGGCTCATTGCTGTGCCTTTGTAGTGGAAGGACTCAGAGCTGACGTGTGGGGTGTCAGAGCCTCCAGCTGACAGAGTTACCCCTGCTGACTCAGTCACCCCAAAACAAACCCAAATGAGACACGTTTCCTGGCAGATTTCTTCATCCTTGCCTGCAAGGTGGTAAAATTGCCCAATTTGTATCCCTTTGGAGACCTGGATTTGAGGAAATCACAGCTTGCAGTACTGGCCTTTGATAGTGAGTTCATTCTGGCAGCCTGGAGCCCCGTGGCAGGATTTGCACCTGAGTGTTTTGTGTTCCCTGCAGGCCTTGGGAGCAGTAAGGCGACTGTTGGTGGCAGGAGTGTCACACCTTCCAATGACTCTGAAGCCCCCACCCTTCCTCTGAAGCCTTGCACCTTGGCTGGGATGGCTTCCAAGACCACCAGCACCATCGTGCCCAAAAGGGTAGCACATGTTCCCTCCTTACAGGTAAGGGGGATTTGAATTCTTTCCTGTCATTCCCCAGGGAGGGTGGGATGTTTGATCCTGCTGTTCCAAACTTAGCACTCCCTGAGAGTGGTGTTTTGATTATGTTGATTGAGTGGGTTTGTTTCTTCCTGTGGTTTTCCTAGATAGCATTGTATAAAAAATTAAACACTCAAGGGGTAGGAGCTTAAAAAGGTAGAAATACTTAAATGCTGCTCTGATCTCTGTGAATATTGATCACTTGTCTCCAATTTGAGCCTTCTCTTGTGCTGACTGGCCTGGGTGTGTTTGGATCAGGGGCTTGGAACCTCCCGTGCTCAAAAGCCAGGGATGGATTCATGGCCTTCCCAGGCTCTGTGGGCCACACTGGTGGTTATGAATAATGTCCCTCTGTGACCTAGATAGTAAAATGTGAGCACTGAACTTCGTGCTGCTGCTGTGTTTAAAGAAAAGACTATTTTGTCTTTGTTAGTTGCTTTTGTTTTGTTTCTCTTTATCCACTGGGATCTCTGCCCAGCCTTTGGGTGCCTTTGCTATGAGTTCCTTAGCAAAGTGACAGGACACAGGGAATGGCTTCCACTGCCAGAGAGCAGGGATAGATGGGGTATTGGGAAGGAATTCTTGGCTGTGAGGGTGGGGAGGCCCTGGCACAGGGTCCCTGGCAGTGTCCCAGGCCAGACTGGAGGGGCTTGGAGCAACCTGGGACAGTGCAAGGTGTTCCTGCCCATGGCAGGGGGTGGGAATTGGATGATTTTTAAAGCCCCTTCCCACCCAAACCATTCCATGATTCTTTAAATCCCTCCTTTCCACGAGCCCTGGGAAGCTGTTACTTCCTAAGACAATTCAGAGCAGAATTCCTCCTGGAGCAGCCTGGGGATGGCATAAGGAGCTGTTTGCTGGAGTGGATGGCAGAGCTGGTTAGTGCCAGGACATGATTAAAAATCCCTTTATTGATGATGGTTTGTGTCAAGATCTGTCAGAACTTGCTCTGATTATTTCTGGAAGAGTGAAAAGTAATTCTTTTCCTTTCCCATCCAAACTGCCACCACAGTAATGTAGAACTTGAAGCTGATTCAAAATAAGAGAAATAACTGAAAGGATGAAGTATTTAGCAGAGTTACAGAGGGGCTTAAGGGTATAATGTTAGAGATTGAGAATTTATATATTTAATGAAAAGGACCAAATCCCCCTGAACAGGGCATCAAGGTGAGAGTCTCCTGGGGAAAATGAGATAGGACCAGTTGTTCCCCTTGGAACAAGCTCACATCTTCCACAGAGCTGTTTTTGTTCCAGGTTGCAGCAGATGGTTTGGTTTATGGATATCTCTTGGGTGGGATGGAGAACAACTGACAAAACAATTGGGTATTTTAGAGATGAATGAACATTTTCCTCTCTGAAAAAGAAGCAAGTGTGCTGTGGTGTGGAGGATAAACTGGTGTGAATTGGAAAGCTGCAGTGGTTGGTCATAGCTCAGTCCAACATGCAGCTTTTGAGGAACATGCCATTAAATTGAAGGGGTAAATCCTTTTAGGATTTAAACATCATGATTGGCATTAAAAAAGGAAGAAAACCCCCAATGCAGTCAATTTGCAGGAATGCCTCAGGAAGTGGGGGGTGGGATAAGTGACAGGAGGGGCCTCGTGTTCTCTCTTCACAGCCAGAGAACCAAACCTGTCTGTGGAGCCCACAGCTGGTGCTGTGTGTTCATGGCTCCAGCTCAGCCTGTGGTGCTTGGTGCCATCCTAACCTGGGATCTCAGTGGGAATGTCAGCATTTCCTGCTCTGGAATGCTGTGTGTGGCTAATGCTGCTGGAGTCCTTGGCTCCTGCCTGACTTCAGAGTGAAGTACAGCTGTTTTCTAAAGGAAAACACTGAAGGTGGTGGAGCCTCAAGTGGTATTTTTAGTACCAAAAGTGCTGCGTGTTAAGTTTGGCTTTGGGCAGATTTTCAAAAGGGAAGTCACCCCATGATTAGTAACAGGAAGTGGGAGAGCCTCAGAGCAACCTCCTGGAGCCTGACCAGCCTCTTTCTCTCTCTGTCTCACCTCCAGAGCACCACTTTACAGAGGCCTGTTATTCCCACAGAATTTGGTGCTAAAGTCCCAACCAACATTCGCCAGAGGTATCTCAATCTCTTCATTGATGAGTGCCTGAAATTCTGCTCGTCCTCCCAGGAAGCCTTCGACAAGGTCTGTACAGATCCCTGCTTCTCAGGAATAACCTTTGCAGCAGGGAATGACATCCTCTGCCTTGGCCAAGACCTTCTAAAATGGTAGCAAATTCAGAAAACTGAATTGGACTTAGGCTTGCAGAAACTTGGGGGTGGGAACTAGATGATCTTAAGGTCCCTTCCAAGCCAAACCATTCCCTGATTCCCTATCCACAGTTGAGGAAACTGGCATTAAGTATTACCAGACTGGGCAACAGAAAGTGTCATTCCAGTGGGGGCTTCCAGTAGGAAATCCCATCTTTCCCTTCATTTGGAAAGCTTGCCTGATGCCTTTACTAACCCCAGGAGAGGAGTGCAGAGGAATGTGCATTGTGGTCAAAGACGATTTGCCCTGCTGCAGCAAGAAAAACCTCCTGGAATCAAAGTGTTGAGCACAGGGAGGTGTTTGGGATAGATGTAATTAGTTGGGAATTGGTTCTTTGCTGCTTCTGAAGGCTGTTAAGGAGACTTTAAGGAACCTTCTAGCAGTAGGGACAGTATAGTAGGATTTCCAAAAGCAGAGTGGAGAGAATAATACATTTTATTGGAAAAGCTTGGCTGTTAGTTGGGTAAATGTGGGACACTGTGTGGTGTGTTCCAAAACAAAGCAGACACCGCAAGGATTTATTTTGTGGGATTCCACCTTCCCAAGGAGTCACCATTTGCCAAACCTCCTTTTCTTACCAGCTAAGATCTTGCACTGCACCAAAGTGAGGAGAGCAGCCTTTCCCAGGCAGTTCCAAGAACAAGAATTACTTGATGAAAACATGGCATGATTAGATCTTCCTGGGAGCAAGAGCAACTCTGGAATACTTAAGCCAAGGTGGCAGCAGACTTTATATTAGGGGAAAGAGAAGGGATTCTACCAATTTAAAATATGTTGAAGTTTGAAATTTTTTTTTTTTTTGCTAATTAGGAAATTTTTATTAATCTCTTCTGGAAAATTTCACATGGAAAAAAAAAGTGCTTTTCCAGCACTTTGTTTAAAATAAAATTACTTTTTTCCTCTTACTTACCTGAGCAAGTACATATTGGTGCCATGTTCTGCTTTATTACTCAGTTCCTTGTCAGACAATTTTTTTTTTGTTGATGCCTTGAGCTAGAACAGAGACTAGACAGAGCTAAAGAATAAAGCAGGGATTTATTAAAATGCCTCAGTGGATCCACCTTGGGCAGCACCAGAGCCCAGCCAGGGCTGCACCCAAGATGAACCAAAATGGTCACAAAATGCACAACTGCTCACGGGGTCTCTCACTTTTATAAGTTCTGCTCCATTTGCACATTGGAGTTCATTGTCCAATTCCAATGTCAATTCCATGCGGTCCCATCCTTCTTGTTTTTCTCTCTTCATTCCACGTTGTTTGTGCTCTTGGGCTGAGATTTGGATCATTTGTCCTTGGTCCCCAGCTAGAGAAGGAATTGTTTTGTCTCTATACTCTGTGCCCATCCCCTCACCATCCCCTAATGTGGAGCCCAGACCCACACACTAACACAGAACCTAAAAAATATAAAAGCCAAATACTGAGGCATCACTACTTGGAATCTGTATTTAAGAGCTAAACACTAATTTTCTCCAGAAGCAATGGAAGCTATGGCTGCCCCATCCCTGGAAATGTTCAAGGCTAGGTCAGATGGGGCTTGGAACAACCTGGAGTAGTGGAAGGTGGAAAAAAGAGATCTTTGAGGTTCCTCCCAACCCAAACCATTCTGGGGTTCTGTGGACAGTGGAGGAGAGTGTGTGGTGATGACTTGTGCTGTTCCCAGGCCCTGGCAGAGGAGAAGGTGGCCTACGAGCGCAGCACCAGTCGCAACATCTACCTGAACGTGGCCGTGAACACCCTGAAGAAGCTCCGCAGCCTCGTGCCCAACTCCCCAGCCAGCACCAACAGTAGGTACCTTGCACCTGAACAGCTGGAGCCCTGCTGGGGTTACAAACCACAGAGAGAAACTTGTCTGAAAAGCCAGAACCCATTTCTCAGCAGCATTATGCTGAAAGGCAAACAGCTCCAGTTTAGCTTTTTATAGCCTGGCAAGCCTTAATGGGCCTTCAAGAGGCAGGTCCTACAATGCTTTGTTGGCTTTCTCAGCCTAAATGGAGATAATGCCACACGGCTGGGGTTTTTTTTAGCACAAGTTCTTTCAAATGAAAAGCCCTGCTAATGGAGTAACTTTCACATGATGCCTTCAAAGTGATAGACTCGTCCATCACCACAGAAATCTGCTACACACATTAAGCTTCAAGAGAGAAACGAAGAGGGTTAAGACATTTCATTATTGGCTCTCGAGAGGGTACATTAAACAATCAATTTGTGCTGTTCTTGTGATTTTTTTTTCCTCTGGTCTCTTCCTTTTTCTCCCCTCTGTCTTCATTACGTTCCTGGCCATTAGGCAGAGCAGCTGAACTTGGAGGCTGGCCTTTAGGAGAGGGCTGCCAGTTAATGATTAGTAAAAAGCCCCTCTCTGCCATTGTCTGATGTGTTGAGCATATTCTAGAGCTCTGAAACTCCTTTCTGAAAGAAGCTGAAGGATCCTGCGTGGGAGGTTGGTCTGCAGAATCAAAGCTTCTTCCTGGGGGTGGGTGGTGCCCTCACACAGCACATGAAGGGGTCAAGTTGTTCCTGTGCTGGCTCCTCTCTCTTGGTCAGTCGGAGGGCTTTGTGTGCAGAGTGAGCAGGGAGAGCTACAATTTTCTAGCAGAACTGGAAAAGTGTCTTTGCTGCTCTTAAAATTGCTGTAGGCTGACAGTGTGAGCAGAATACTCTCTGTGGTGCTGGAATGGAAATGCTGGGCCAGCATGTGACACAAAGAATCCATTCCTGGAGCAAAACAAGAGTTAAAGAGAACAGACACAGTTCTCCCTCCTCTTGCCCGTGTGTAGTGTCCCAAACTAGGACTGAAGTCACCCACTGGGTCCCTGATCTCTGTCCCCCTGTGCTGTTCCCTCCTCCTTGCAGAGACAAGTAACAAGAAGGTGGTGTCCCACGAGGCTGTGCTGGGAGGGAAGCTTGCTGCCAAGACCAGCTTCACTCTGAACCGCTCAGGGAGCCTGAGAGCCGAGGATCTGACAGGTCAGACCCTGCTCCTGCTGGGCTGTCACTTGTGAGGGGGGAGCTGAGCTGTGACGCTGATTGGGGGGTGCAGGATCGGGCTGGGGCACTCAGCTCGAGTTGTGGGGGCACTTTAGGCACCACAAGGTCAGAAGGATCCAAAGCTGTTGGAGAGTGTCCCAAGGAGGGACACGGAGCTGGGGAAGGTCTGAGGAGCGGCTGAGGGCACTTGGCTGGTTCAGCTGGAGCACAGGAGATGAGGGGAGGCTCCTCGGGGGCTGCAGCTCCTCCCGAGGGGAGGCAGAGGGGCAGGGGCTGAGCTCTGCTCTGGGACAGCTCCTGGAGCCCAGCAAGGGCTGGAGCTGTGCCAGGCCTTGGCATGGAGCTCAGGGAAAGGTTCTTCCCCCCGAGGGTGCTGGCACTGCCCAGGCTCCCCAGGGAATGGTCCCGGCCCCGAGGCTGCCAGAGCTGCAGGAGCGTTTGGACAGCGCTCTCAGGGCTGCTCGGGGTGGGGGTGTTGGGGGGTCTGGGAAGGGACAGGCTGATGATCCCTGAGGGTCCCTTCCAGCTCAGGATTTTATGACCTGAAGAGCTGAGATTTCTCTGTTCTCTGGCTGCATCACAGAGCTGCAGAGTCCCTTGGGGGCTGGTGACACCACTGACCAGTGCCCTCCTCCTGTCCTCGCTGAGGCTCTGAGGTCACTGCTGCAGCCTGGCTGGCTTTGATGGAGCATCAATAACCATTCAGAGCTGCCTCTTGTGCTTTGGGCATTATTTTACTTCAACTTTCTTGCCCTGAAGCAGTTCTTTACAATGTGCCTGTCAGATTAAAAGGCAGACTTAAAAATCTCCATCTCTGTAGGGCTCAGTTTCACTTTCACCAATGTCACAGTAAGGTCGTATCATAGCCAAAGGGTTGTGCCACGAGCATTTTTCATGTGGGCTCAAATCAGTTATGGGTATTTTGGTTGCCAAGAGATGTAGGCAGATTGTGGAGGAGATCAGAGACGAGCCAGGGAGGCCATGGAGCAGAAGGAATTGACATTGAGAAAGCTTAAAAGGGCCAGTATAGCTCAGCTAAGCAACATCAAAGGGCACCCAGGAATATTGGAAGGGTTTAATGCAGCAGCCAAAGGAGATATTGAGCAGAGTGCAAGAAGTTATAATTATTCTGTGAAATGAAACAAGCAGCCTGAAATCAGTAGCAGGAAGAAACTTCTGATAATGGAGTTTTTAGGGAGCTATGCATGGCCTTTGAGGGGTATTTGAGGGTTGTGTTACCAGTTATCAGCTGTTGAATTTAAACATTCAAATGGGAGAAATTTCACATTTAGTGACAGGACACAGGGAATGGCTCCCACTGCCAGAGGGCACGGCTGGATGGGATTTTGGGTGGGAATTCGTGGCTGTGAGGGTGGGCAGGCCCTGGCAGAGGGTGCCCAGAGCTGCTGTGGCTGCCCCTGGATCCCAAAGCCAGGCTGGATGGGGCTTGGAGCATCCTGGGATAATGGAAGGTGTCCCTGCCATGGCAGGGGGTGGAATGGGATGATCTCCAAGGTCCCTTTCAACCCAAATCTGGTTGGTTCTATCAGTAACAGCAAGGCTGAAGATGGGCCTTTTGGAGGAATTACAGCTATGCTTTCCAGACTTGATGCTCCTCGTTCAAGGAGTTTAAAAATCAACTTGTACAATAATGGCCAGGTTCTAAAAATGACCACCCAACACCTATTCCCCTGTCCATCCTGAGCTGAGGCAGTAGAAGCAAGTTCAGAATAAGGAGGGAAGTTCAGTTTATCAAGGCAGGAGACTTGGTAAAGGCAGAGAAAGAGGCAGTGCTGTGGTGGTGAGAGCTGAGCTGTGTTTGTGTGCAGGAGCTGCCCTGTACCGGCGCCTCAAGGAGTACCTGATGACTGAGGAGCAGCTCAAGGAGAACGGGTACCCAATGCCTCACCCTGAGAAGGCTGGACGTGCTGTGCTCTTCACTGCAGAGGAGAAGAAAGTGATTGACTGTAAGCTCTGCTGCTCTTTCCTTCTGCAGGATTTGCTGGGTACAGCAGGAGCTGCCCCTTGGTCCTGTTGTGGTGGGGAGTGCGGCTGCAGAACTCTGCTGCATGGAGAGTTTCTTCAGCTTTCACATCCTGAGAATGCTGGTTTTGGGTTTATAGTCTGTGGGGCTGAGGGAGGTTTCTAATGTCTAATTCCCAGGTTACAAGCAACAGGATAAAAGGAAACAGCCTCAAGTTGCACCAGGGGAGGTTTAGATTGGATATAAGGGAAAATTTCTTTGTGAAGCATTGAACAGGCTGCCCAGGGCAGTGGTGGAGTCATCTCCCTGTAAATGTTGAAAAAATGTGTGGATGTGGCACTTGGGGACATGGTTTAGTGGTGGCCATGGTGGTGGTGCTGGTGGTTGGATTTGATCTTAAAAGTCTTTTCCAGCCTCAGCAATTCCAGGATTCTGTGCTGCCGAGGAGCAGCAATTGAACAGGTTGGAAAGAGATTCCTGTTCTGCACTTGGTGACCCTCCCCTCTCCCAGGGGAAGGATTTTTTTCTGTCTCTGTCTGTGTGAGCTGCTGTTATGGTGGGATAAGGACTGACACTGGGCCAGGCTGGCTTTGCAGTGGGTCCTGCTGTGATGCTCTGGATTGCAGAGTTTTCTATTTGATCTCTTGGCACTGCTGGGCCAAATAGTTCCCCAGAGCCCTTTTTGCAGCTGGACAAAATGATCATAAAATCACAAAATAGTTTGGATTGGAAGGGACTTCAAAGCCCATCTCATTCCACCCCCTAGAACACCTTCCACCAGACTGGGTTGCTCCAAGCCATGTCCAACATGGCCTTGAACCCACAAGTTTTCTCAGGACAGGATGGGATCTTCCTCTGAATTTTCTGAACTCATGGCAAGATTTCTGCTCCTCAGCCCCTGACTGAGGCAGGCTGTGCTGCAGCAGGGATAAAATCCAGACTGGTGATTTCTGTTGAGGTGCTTTGCCACGCTCCCCTGAGCATCTGTGTGGAGAGACCTCACTAAAGTGTGTTAAGTGCTCATCCATGTTAACACCTTGTGCCTACATTTGTCCTGTGGTTGCTGAAGCAACCTGGGCAAAAGCTCTCTTGCATTAACACTGTCAAGTGCTGTATTTGTGAGAGCCCTTTTTTTCCCAGGAACCAGCCAGCTCCTCTATATGAACCTGAGCTCGTGTTCCTGGTTTTGTTCCTGTAGTTTCCTGCAGATGTTGCAGGATCTTTGAATTTCTCCTTGTTTAACTAAAGCTGCCACTGTGACCAGTTGGGCAGGGCTGGGAATGTGCTAACAGCTTTAATGCTGACACCAAAACTCATGGAACTGCATGGAGATCAGAGCTAGCTAGGTGATAGCTCCTTCCCAGTGGCTTTTTGCATCTCCCTTCCCCAAATTTTGGGCAGTGAAAGCAGAGGTGGTAGGAGGGAGCAGTTGCCAGGCCCTGCCCTAAGTGCTGCTGGAAAATCCTGACTGAAAAGCTGTGCCCTAGAAGAGCTAAAATGTCATTTGGAAGTGACAAGGCACAGATCCCCTTGAAACCAGGCTTCATTAGCTCTGGTGTCCAAAGAATGACTTATTTTTCCTGTTTCTTAAAATAACTGTGTTAGACTCCAACGTAATTTGCTGTGCACGGAGAAACAATGCAGCAAACCTTGACAGAGCTGAGGGCAGCTTATGTGGACCAAAACCACTGGAGAGTCTTTGTGTTTGCCTCTGGGAAGTGTCTGGGGGGGCAGATTTCAGAGGGATTGCTGTGCCTTTGTAGGAGTTTACAACAACATTTGGAATCCTTTTTAAAAGAAAACATAATTTGGGGATTGAGTGATTGTGATTTACTTTGTTTTGGCTGGGTTAAGGAGGTGAGGGGTAGGAAGGGCTGCTTCCAGTGACCTGGCTGTTGTTTCTCTCCTGTCCCCAAGCCTCGTGCAGGATCTGCTGTCGCTGTGGCACCGAGTACATGGTCTCAGCCTCGGGGAGCTGCATCCGCAAGGAGGAGTGCGTCCATCACTGGGGGCGGCTGCGCAAGCAGAGAGGTACAGCCCTGCCAGGGGGATTGGCCCGTGCTGCCTGTGCTCCATCCAAACACAGAGTCTTCCTCAGCTTTGAGCTCGATTTTGGGGCGTGTCACACTCCCAGGTGGTGGCAGTTCCTGTGCCTGTCACTGCAGTGACCTCTCAAAGAGCCGCTGGGCTTGGTGAGGTCCTCAGAATGTGACACTGGGGCTGCAGCAGAGCAGAAAAGTGAGGGGAAAAAGCCTTCCTGTGCTTTTTGAAAAGAATCAGCCTTTTAAAAGGCTGACTGGGAGCATTAGAGGTCTGTCACTCCCATGAGAGTTCACTGATCTTGGCTGAATTTATTTGCAGCAAAGCACTAACCTAGTTTGAGCTCTGCTCTGGTTTTCCACCAGAGCATCTGAGCGGCTTCTGGAGTTTGTCTGGCTGAGTACCAGAGACTTAAACTCTTTAGATTGCTGCCTATGAACCCACAGTTACTTTTCCCCTGTGTCTGACACATTATTGTCATGCTTATCCAGGGGATCTGCACGTGGAAGTCGAAGTTCAGGCCTCTTGTTAACAAGAGTCTTCTCCTTGACCCTTCATCTCTTACTCTTTCAGTGCCAGGTGGGTGGGAAACCCACTACAGCTGCTGCTCTGGAGCTGTGGGGTCACCAGGCTGTCAGGTTGCTAAAGTAAGTGATGGAATAACACCTTTTTATTCTCAGTGACATTTGTGCTCTGCTCACGGTGGCAGTGGCTGGGAAATCCTTGCTTAAGCCTTTAGAAGAGCAGTGGCTTCCCTTAAGGGGATAAAACAAGTGCAACTTAAATTGTTTTGCTCTGAAGTGGAAGGGAAATCCAGTATTTGACACTCAGCTGTCTGGAGTGAGCTGGGTTCATTTATCCTGAGCTGCTCAGCTCATCAAAGAAAAGTTCACGTTCTTTAGTGAATCACCAAAGGAATGAGAAATAAGGGATTTCCTTATAAGGAGTAGTCTCAGGGCCTTGGAAACAGTGTGCCAAACTATTTTTCCCATCTTTTCCTTTCCAGATTCCCATGCTAAGGTAATTTTATCCTGGTGGACAAATCTTTTTCTGACAAGTTTGCTATTTGCTGCCTGTCCTTGGTTGTAATGAGGGGAGGAATCTTTCCAAGGAGCCTGTTGTTACACCACAGTTTCACAAAACTTCTTTTGAGGGAGCCCAGCACTAGAAAAAATAATGAAGAACCCTCTGAGATGTGGAGTTAGAGCAGAGCACTGTCTGGGGTACCTTAGCACAGGTGCTTTTTTCTTGCCCTTAGGCAGCAGGAGAGTTGGTGTGCCAGCCCAGCATCCCCAGTTTGTCTTGTGCCTTTCTCTCAGGTCTCTGGGCATGTTCCTTGTCTCTTGTTTTAGTGGCATTTTTATATTTGGCAGCTGCCACACAGGGGAGAACCAAAAGCTAGAGGTAGAAGTTGATCCTGAGCAAAATTCAAGGTTTGTTGCAATAGGAAGAGTTGTCTGGGCACTGGATTGGATGGGATTGGATTATTATTTTTCTTTTTTTTTGGTTTTTTTTCCAATGAGTTTAGGATTTTTTTTTTTTTTTAATCAGATGCTCTGGGCACTGTGTGCCAGGGCCTGCCCACCCTCCCAGGGAACAATTCCTGCCCAATATCCCATCCATCCCTGCCCTCTGACAGTGGAGCCATTCCCCCTTTCCTGTCCCTCCATACCAGTATAAAAAGTCCCTCTCCTTCCTTTTTATAAGCCCCCAGTTTTCACATCACCCTTTGGTAGATTTAAGGTTGAATCCACAGCCTGCTCAGCGTCAGAGCATGCAGTAAAATTTTGGGATATTGGGGAGCACAGAATCCTTCAGTGTGCTGAAGAAAGGCTTTGAAAGCAGAAAATATTTGTAATGAGACACCATTCTCAGTAACTGGAGCAGTAAGCTGGTTAGAAAAGCTCATGTGTGTGTCCAAGCCTTTAGAAGAGCAGTGGCTTCCCTTCAGGGGATAAAACCAAGTGTAATTAAATTGTTTTGCTGTGCAATGGTGGGAAATGCAGTGTGTGACTCTCAGGTGTGTGGAGTGAGCTGGGTTTGCTGCAGTGAGGCAGCGAGGCAGGAGATGGCAGGAGGGAGCTGTGCTGCTCCGGGGAGCCTGCAGTGCCTGCTCTTTGTGCTTCCTCAAAAACAGGAGCAACTTCCCTGCCCTCCTCCCAGCCAGGAAGATTGGGCACTTTCAGGACAACAAAAATACATAATAGGGTTTGTTATACCTAATAGGGTTTGTTGTTTATTTTTTTTTCACTTAACTGCTCAGTTCTGTTGTATTACACAGGGAGGGAAGGGCTGAAGCTGCAAGGGAGAAGTGTTTGGTGTCTCCTGGCTGCTGAGCTGCTCTCCCCATTCCCTCAGCAGAGCTGCAGAGTGGACAAGTGCAGCCCCTTGCAGTGGTGATCCATGAGGCCTTTGAGTAGTGCTGGCTGTGGAACCAGGGAGAGATTGGCCTCAGTGTTGGCCCAGCTGCCTCATTAACTTCAAATGATGCAGTTCCTGTGCCCTGGCTGCACCTGCAGTAGTGACCTGTGCAGGAAAATATGCAAATCCTGCTTTGGTTTCCTCTCTACCCACGCATGTCAGCTTTGCAAGGGCCTCAGTTCCTTGTCTCTCCTGCCTTTAATCCTGAGACAAACCAGAACAGTTTCATTCTTTGTAGGGTGAGACCTATGGGAAGCCCTGTACTGTGCTGGGCACTGCTGAGGCCCCACCTCAAATCCTGGGGTCAGTTTGGGGCCCTCATGACAAGAAGGACATTAAAGGGCTGGAGTGTGTCCAGAGAAGGGGACAGAGCTGGGGAAGGGGCTGGAGCACCAGGAGCAGCAGGGAAAGGGGCTCAGCCTGGAGAAAAGGAGGCTCAGGGGGGACCTTGTGGCTCTGCACAGCTCCTGACAGGAGGGGACAGCCAGGGGGGGTCGGGCTCTGCTCCAGGGAACAGGGACAGGAGGAGAGGGAACAGCCTCAGGCTCGGCCAGGGGAGGTTGAGGTTGGATATTAGGAAATTTCTCCACAGAAAGGTTTGTAAAACATTGGAAGGGGCTTCCCAGGGTAGTGATGGGGTCACTATCCCTGGAAGTGTTCAAAAACCAAGTGCATGTGGCACCTGGGGACCTAGTTTAGTGGTGACCATGGTTGCTGGATTGACTTGATGATCTTGGGAGTCCTTTCCAACCTAAGGATTCAGTGATTCCATGGCTTTGAGCATGGTGAAGGAGGCTGTTCCCAGATTGCTGTGGTTGTACACAAATACATGGAGATTTAGGGACGAACAAAACTTAAACACAACAAAAAACCTCACTGGGGAATAAGGGAGGGAGAACATCACCTCTGGGTGTGGTGCAGGCTGGTTTTACCTAAAGCCACGTCAGCAGGCAAAAGGACAGTCCCAGCTCTGCCTTGCTCTCTGTTACCTGTTCCTGCTTCCCCTTTAAAGTTCCTCTAGCATAGAACCCCTGCTTGCCAGGAAGGTTTCAGGGTAACCAGTGGGATCTGTGCTGTGGAGGAGTGTGGGAGTACCTGTGTTGCAACAGCAGCTCAGTCATGCACTGGCTAAAACCACTTGTGAAATCACTCCCTGAGTTTTCCTGCTGGATCTTGTTGACCTGGAGCTTTAGCTGAGTGCTTGGAAATGCCCTTTATTGCCTCAAGTGCTGGTGGGCTGGAGCTCCTGTGGGTTTGGATGCACACATTGCTCTGGAGCTGGCTGGCTGCTCGTGCTCACACAAGCAGAGTGTGAGCAGAGTCTGGGGTTAGGATCCTGCACCTGGCCTTGTCTTGGCCACAGGAACCAGGAGCTGGAGTTACACCAGAGTCAGGCCTCAGTGTGACCCTTCCTGAATAATTCTGCTCCATATTGAAAGCTCCTTCTCTCCAGACACACCATGTCCTGCTCCTCCATGTGTTGTCAGTATGATGCTGCCAGCCCTGATGTGCCACTGGAATTAGGACTGCCCTTGGCTGTGTTTGCTGTGGTTGTGAACTTGTCAGCCTCACTGCAGGCAAAACTTATTCCTCATTAAGAAATGATTAAACCCCCACTTTTGTTGAAGTGGAGGTTTGTCAGAGTGATCTCTTTGGCTTCTTGTTGTTCTGATCACCAGCTGTCCCTGTGTTTTCCTTTCAGCAACACGTGCACGATGGGCGCAAGGAGAGCCTGGATGGCTTTGTGAAGACTTTTGAGAAGCTGCCCACGACTGATGGCTACCCTGGGATCTACGCCTTAGACTGTGAAATGGTGGGTCCCAAGCCAAAATAAAGCTTTTTGGGACTGGCTGAGGTGTGACACAAGTGGCTGAAGGGAAGCTGTTTCCTGACCTCGTTCTCTCTGCTCTGAATATTGGTGCTGGAGGTGTAAATGAGCTCTTATTGATTGGTGTGTTTGGCTTGAGGGCTGTGCAGGCTCTGACTGGCCCACGCTGCTGCCTGGCCTTGCTGCATTTTGGGAGCTGCAGCATTGGGTGAGGGGCTCCACAGATCCCACAGTGTTTTGGCTGTGCCTCTCATCACATCTGCCCTGTCCTTGCAGTGCTACACTAAGCAAGGACTGGAGCTGACGAGAGTAACTGTGATCAACTCGGAGCTGAAAGTGGTGTACGACACCTTTGTCAAGCCAGACTCCAAGGTGGTGGATTACAACACCAGGTGAGGGCTGTAACACCAGGTGAGGATGGTCTTCCTTGGGACAGAGCTTTGTGCTCTCTCAGGAACTTGGTGTGGCTGGCAACACTTGTTGAAACTCCACTGACCACCACTCCCTAAGGGCTTTGGGCCTTGAGGTGTTTCTTCAGGTGAAGGACCCCACCTGTGTCCTGTTGCTCTGCAGATTCTCAGGTGTGACAGAGGAGGACCTGGAGAACACGAGCATCACCCTGCGGGATGTCCAAGCCGTCCTACTGAACATGTTCAGTGCAGACACCATTCTGATAGGGCACAGCTTGGAAAGCGACTTATTTGCACTAAAGGTAACTTGGGCTCTTGCCTTCACATCTCCCTGTGGTGCTTTCCCCCCCCTGGGAGGTGTTGGATGTCTCCTTCAAATTTAGGAACTGTTTCTTTCCAAGGACCAGCAGTTCACAGTAGTGGGGTGGCCTCACCTCAGGTCCTGTGTGCAGTTTTGGGCACCACAATATAAAAAAGCCATGCACCTGTTAGAGAGTGTCCAGAAGAGCTGTGAGGATGGGGAAGGATCTGGAGGAGCCTCATGAAGGGCAGCTGAGGGTACTTGGATTGTTCAGCCTAGAGGAGACTGAGGGGAGACTCATCGTGGACTTCAGCATCCTCATGGGGGAAGAAGAGGGACAGGGGCTGGATTTGATCCCTGAGGGTCTCTTCCCACTGAGGGCATTCCAGGATTCCATGGTTTGTCCAGTCTCTGAGCCTGTGTGAAGCTGGTTGTGGTGGAAGTGCAGGGGAGTGGGGTCATGTGTGTCACTCATGGTGTCACCTGAGCTCTTAGTGGCTGCTGCTGCCCTGGACAGGGCTCTGGGCACCCTGGTCTAGTAGAAGGTGGAACAAGATGGTCTCTAAGGTCTCTTCCAACCCAAACCATTCCATGATTCTGATCCCAAATCATTTCCCTCTCACCCCTGCCTGATCTGTTCTGCGTTCTGTGCCAGCTTTTCTAGGAGCTGTGGTGTTGCTTTGATGGAGTTATGCTGACCTTTTCCCTGTCCTGTTTCCTGCCTGGCCCAGTGTGCCCATCCCTCTGCCAGCTCTGCTGTCCTGCAGGGAGTGTGTCCTGCACTGAGGCCCCAGGGGATTGTCCTGGGTCACCAGGAGAGCGTGTGGCAGGCAGGAGCCAAGTCTTTGTGCTCACATGCCAGAACTTCCCTCAGCCATTCTTTGTCCCACAGCTCTCCTGCTGAAGCCTGTGTGGCTGCCAGCTCCCAGGGCTGGGTTAAAGCAGGAGCTTTTAATGCCTGTAAAACACTTTACCTCTCCGTGGCACCCTTTATCCCAGCCTTGGAGAGGCTTCATCATCATCAGAAAGACATTATTTCCAGTTGGATCAGCTCGAGATGACTGCCTTGGCCTCTCAGAGGCTTGATTTTCTCTTAGCACCACAGCTGCTGCCAAGAGGAGGAGCCCAGAGCAATCCAGCAGAGCCGTGGGGTGTCACAGCAGAATGGCCGAGGGCTGTGCCACTAAAGCCATATCTCACTAATGGCTGTGGCAACTTCCAAGTGCTGATGACATTTCAAGTTTTATTTAAAGCTTTATTATCCTGTTTCCTCACTCTTCCTGATCTACATAAGTAATTACCAGTGTGTCTGGGAGGGTGCCAGGGCTGAGTGCAGTCCAGGGGAGATGATCCATAACATTGGCAGTTTTATATTCCGAGGAGTGGAGCAGGTTGTTCCTGTTAAAGTGCAGCTGTTCTGGGGCAGTTGTGGAGCTGTTACTGATGGAGTTACGGGCTGTCCTGCAACATGAGCTGGTGCCTGGAGGCAGAGAGGAGAGGGCAGGGCTGGATGGGAGATTGGGAACTGGGAATTGTTCCCTGGCAGGGTGGGCAAGCTGTGGCTGCCCCTGGATCCCTGGCAGTGCCCAAGGCCAGGCTGGGCAGGGCTTGGAGCAGCCTGGGACAGTGGAAGGTGTCCCTGCCATGGCAGGGGATGGAGTAGAAGCCCTTTAAAAAGTGCCAACTTGAAACACTCTCTGATATGATTCAGTGATAGAATTTCCTTGTCCCATTCTACCCTTGCTGAGCTGGTGCTGGTTAAAAACTTCCTGTTGAGTCACTGCTGGGAGCTGGGAGGATTTGGGGTTGGTCTGCACCCTAAAGGCCAGGCCTGCTCTGCTGCAGCAGAGTGATGTACACCCTGCCCACTCCTGTCCCCATCTCAGAATCCCACAGTGGTTTGGTTGGAAGGCACCATCAAGATTACCCAGTTCCAATCCTCTGCAGGGTGCCACTCACTGGACTCTCACTGGACTGGGAAGCACTTTGAAAGGTTGCTACAACTCACAAGGTGCTGTTGTGCTGGTTCTTCAGTTTAGTTTTTAATTGGGAGAAACTCCAGAGCTATTCCAGCTTCTCCAGGCTGGGGGATTAAGGATTGGCCTGTCCTGCTGGAGTTACACCAACAGGATCAGCTCCAGATCTCTGCTGAGATTCAGGACACCTCCTGCATGTGAGGTTGAAGGGCTGTGGGGGCAGGCCTGTGGCTGGCACAGCAGTGGGAATGCCGTGTGCCCACACCCTGCCAGGGAATCATCCTGGATGCAGCCAGAGCCTCCTGCCAGACTGGTTGGGTGGGAATCCGCTGGGCACTGCACGGAGCCCAGGGGTGACCAGAAGGTTGCTGCATCCCCAGGAGTGCCTGTCCCTGTGGGGCTGGGGAAATAACCCTGTTGTTCTGCCCCTCCCCAGCTGATCCACGGCACCGTGGTGGACACAGCCATCGTGTTCCCCCACCGCCTGGGGCTGCCCTACAAGCGGGCCCTGCGCACGCTGATGGCCGACTACCTCAAACGCATCATCCAGGACAACGGTGAGACTCTGAGGGAGCCACTTCCCCATTCCTGTGCTCTCCTCAGCCCTGCCTTCCTCTGCTCTCCCCAGTCCTCCTGCTCCTGGTGTTTTCTGCCCTGCATGTGTGTGGCAGATGGCAGAGCTCTCCCTGCTTCCCTCCCTGTGCTGAGTGGGACAAAGGAAGTGGTGTGGGAGGGCTGAGGGTGGCTCTGCCAAGGCCAGGTCCTGCCCTCCCTTCTGTCTCTGGCCAGCTGAGAAGAACCCTCCTGTTGGAAGTGGGGCCTGTTCCCTCCTGTCTTCCCTGAGCACATTGTAAACGCTGCTGGGGGAGCTCCCAGCTGTTCCACAGCTGATGGTGTCAGGCTCAAGCCCAGCAAAAAGTGTGGGTTTAGTGGAAAAAAATACATGTTTAATGTTGGGAGTGTTCAGCCTGGAGAAGAGAAGGCTTTGGAGACTCCTTAGAGCTCCTGGCAGGGCCTGAAGGGGCTCCAGGAGAGCTGGAGAGGGACTGGGGACAAGGCCTGGAGGGACAGGACACAGGGAATGGCTCCCACTGCCAGAGGGCAGGGCTGGATGGGAGATTGGGCAGGAATTGTTCCCTGGCAGGGTGGGCAGGCCCTGGCACAGGGTGCCCACCCTGGATCCCTGGCAGTGCCCAAGGCCAGGCTGGACAGGGCTTGGAACACCCTGGGACACTGGAAGGTGAACCTGCCATGGCAGGGGTGGAACTGGATTAGCTTGAACAAACCCTAATCCACAAACCATTCTGTGATTCTGTGGAATTCTTTAAATCCCCGGCTGTGGCTGTGGCTGCAGGGGACAGGGAGCAGCTGGGGGAACTCCCTGAGCTGAGCTGAGCTGAGGGGTCACTGCCACACCTGTGTTTGTGTCCCCAGTGGAAGGACACGACTCCAGTGAGGACGCCAGAGCCTGCATGGAGCTGATGGTGTGGAAGATCAGAGAAGATGCCAAGGTGAAGCGATGACCTGCGTTGTCTCTCTGCTGTTCTCCTGCACCTCTGTGAAGAAGCAGTGCAATAAATGCCCACAGCCACTCTGTCCCCATGCCAGCAGCATGTTCCTGCTCCCCAGCCATCCCAGCAGGACTCCTGGACGCACACACCTGCAGTCCCCCTGTCCAGGTGGTGCTTCTCAGATCCTCAGATCCACCTGAGGGATTCTCTGTGGTCCAAGCACCGCCTTTTGGGCCTGGCAAGGTGGTTTTGAGTAGCACAACCAGAACTTCTTGGTTCCTAGGAGAAGCTTGTTAGAGGTAGGTTGGAGATGTGCAGAAGGATCCTTCTGGTTCAGTTCAAGGTAGATTGTTTACTACTTGTTTTTTGTTTTCTCCCAAATATAACTTAAATTGCCTCTGTACTCCAAAGCAGTGTTTGGAGAGGGGGAGATGGCAGAAGGTTGGGCAGGAAGCTGTGAGGGGATTGTGTAGCTGGTGTGGGAAGCAAGAGCTGAGGGTCAAGCACTTGGGAAGAGATCCTGGTGCAGTCCCACTGTGGAACTGCAGAAGAGGGAGGCTGGCTCTGAGCAGCTGGAGGGAGAGGAATGAGGTGGGATCTGGGAATTGGCACCTGGTTCTGCAGTCAGTGCAGAAGGGGAAACCACCAGTGTCCCACCTTGCCCAGACCTCAGGGAGCCACGAGGCAGGACAGGGACAAACAGCTCCCAGAGCCAGGGAGAGCCTGCATCCCATCACTGCAGGGTAGGACAAGGGTCTTTCCCTGCCCCTCAGCTTCCAGCAGGGCCCCAGTGAGCTTCCCAGTGTTCAGGGAACAAGGTTTTTGGGTGTGCAGGTAAGGCTGCACCTAAGGGTGGCCTCAGCAGCCTGTCCCTGCTGCAGGGACTTGGTCCAGGCAAGAGCAATAGGGGAAAATCATTTCACCTCATTTACATGTTGGGAGTTGTGCAGAAAGCAAAGGACTCAGCTGTGTCTGGCACCTGGGCTAAAGCAGCTGCTGAGTGTGTCTGTCACTGGGGTGACTGGGTGGCACTGGGGGTCCCTCTGCCCTGCCCCTGCTGCTGGCTGGGGACAGCAGAGCTGAGGGGAGCAATCCCCATGGACCCTGTGGTCTCTCAGCTGGGCTCAGGGAGCACCTTCACCCCAGGGCAGTGACCCCCAACCCTCCCTGCAGCGCTGGGATTGTGTCCCTTGGTGGCTGCTGTGTCCCTGTGTCCGTCTGGGGGCAGTGGGGTTTGGTTCCTGTCAGAGCCAGGCTCGCTCACTCGGGGTCTGGGGACAGCTGTGTCCCCTGCATGTCCTGCTGAGCTGTCCCAGCCTGTGGCAGGAGTGTGGGCTGGGCTGTGCCCCAGCTCTGGCCCTGCTGAACTCTCCCCATCCCACTGCTGCCCTCGGAGCAGGGATGTGGCTTCTCTGCCAGGAGCCACCAGGAGAAGTGGGGCTGTGAAGACTCCTGTACTGCTGAGCCCATCTGTGTTTCCTCTGCAGCCAGTTCCTTACCCCAGTTTTGGGGATGCAGCTCCACATCCAGCTCTGCTCCTTCCCTGCCTTGGGGCTCCCACCCCTGAGCAGCTTTGGGCCACCTTGGGCTGTCCCTATGTCCCCCTGCCTGCAGGGAACAGTGCTGGTCCTGCCAGGCTGGGGGAGAGACAGAGTTGAGCACTTCCCAGCTGGGGAGGGAAGGTTTGTTCCTGCTTCTGCCTCTTTGCCATGTTTATCCCCCATTTATCTTCACCCCTGGCTGCAGGGGTGGAATGTCCCTGGAGCAGCCAGGGCAGGCTCAGATGTGGCTCCTGCCTCTCCCTGTTCCTCAGCAGGCAGCCCCTGGGGCTGTTGGCTCCATCCCAGCCGCTGGGGCTGGGCAGGCAGGGCCTTCCTCCAGGCCATGGCACCTCCTTCACTCCCCACAGTCCCCAAACTGAGGTTTTGGGGTGGGGTGTGTCAGGGGATGTCCCTGGGAGGGTGGAACCATACCCAGGCCTGGCCCCGGGCTGCCATCACCTCCCCAGGCACCAGAGGTTTGGTTGGGTTGTACAGAACGGTTGTAACCTGTAACTTTTTGTAATTGTTTTTAATAAAAGAGTGTTGACTAGATGCACATTCCCGAGTCTGGGACTGCTCTGCCTGTGGATGGGTTGTGGAGAGGAGGTGCTGGAGCCAGGCCAGAGCAGCCACGGAGATGCTGCCAGGGCTGGAGCCCCTCTGCTCTGGAGCCGGGCTGGGAGAGCTGGGGGTGCTCCCCTGGAGAGGAGAAGCTCCAGGGAGAGCTCAGAGCCCCTGGCAGGGCCTGAAGGGGCTCCAGGAGAGCTGGAGAGGGACTGGGGACAAGGCCTGGAGGGACAGGACACAGGGAATGGCTCCCAGTGCCAGAGGGCAGGGCTGGATGGGAGATTGGGCAGGAATTGTTCCCTGGCAGGGTGGGCAGGCCCTGGCACAGGGTGCCCACCCTGGATCCCTGGCAGTGCCCAAGGCCAGGCTGGACAGGGCTTGGAGCAGCCTGGGACAGTGGGAGGTGTCCCTGCCATGGCTGGGGTGGCACTGGGTGGGCTTTGGGGTCCCATCCCTGAGGGGTCCCAGCCTGTTCCTCCTCTGCCCTTTCAGAGCCCGGCTGCTGCCCAATCCAAACTATTCTGTGACTCCTCAACCCCTTCCATTCATAGCTGCTGGTCACAGAATCACAGAATCACAGAATCACTGGGTTGGAAGAGAACTTCCAGACCATGGAGTCCAGCCCAGCCCCAACACCTCAACTCAACCCTGGCACCCAGAGCCACATCCAGGCTTTTAAACAGACCCAGGATGGTGACTCCACCACTGTGGGCAGCCATTCCAGAACTTTATCCCCTTTCTGTAAAAAAACACTTCCTAATATCCAACCTATATTTCCCTTGGGACAGCTTGAGACTGTGTCCTCTGGTGACATTTCCCCCTCTCTCAGCCCCTAAGTTTTCAGGCTAGCCCAGAGATCCGAGGCTTTGAGGGGAGGAATATCAGGAGATGGCAAAGATTTCCAAAAGAGGCTCTTACCCCGGTGTAGTTGTCCAACTCTTTATTCTGTGATGTTCAAGGGGAGAGCGGGGCAAAAGAGGACGAGCAGGAAATGTCAGGGGTTTATCCCGACTTTGGGCAGGGTGGGCAGGAAGGAGGGTCCAGGTTTATCCGGTCCACAGGGTCCTGGGGAATGGGGAAAAGGCATTTCCTGAGTGCAATTTAACCCTGGATTTGTCATCTCTGCAGCCCAGCCCAGCCTCCCCCAGCCCCGCTGCCCCTCCAGGACATCCCTCCCACCGGGATGAGCCCCGGGAACCGGGATGAGCCCCGGGAACCGGGATGGAGCCCCGGGAACCGGGATGAGCCCCGGGAACTGGGATGGAACCTCAGCATCCCCCAACCCCTCCATCCTCCCCCTGCCCTTATCAATCTCCCAAATGGGGCAGGAATTCCAGCGGCAAGCCAAGGAGCTGATTCAGCACGCAGGAAGAGGTGAAGGTAAAAAGTTCAAATAAAGAAATAATGAGCCATTAGATGACCTCACTGGCAATGTGTTTTATTTAACGCTGCTGGCAGCGCTGCTCCGAGGTTGGGAAAGTCTCACCTGCCCCTTCTCGGCCACCTCCGTGGCTTTGGTGGCACCGGCAGCGACCTCCAGTCCCACCCCAGCCCTGAGGTTCCCTTTGTCCCCCTTTGCAGGTCACCGGATGGCCCGAGGTGACATTAGGGAGCAGTGACAAAAACATTTTGCTTTTTTTGGCTTTTTTTTTGCCTTTTTTTTTCTTTTGAAGCCTGGAGGCGACAGGAACCTCCTGCAGGGTAAGGGTGGAGGCAGGTGGGAATTTTAGGATTAAAAGAGCCCTGGTCCCAAGGGAGCAGCACTCACCCAGCCCCATGTGGAGGGACAGAAGGACACAAAGCCAGGCTGGACAGGGCTTGGAGCAGCCTGGGACAGTGGGAGGTGTCCCTGCCATGGCAGGGGTGGCACTGGATGGGCTTGGAGGTCCTTCCCACCCCAAACCATGCTGGGATTCGATGGCACCAGAGCATCTGTCCCAGAATCTGTCCCTCCTGTTTCTCCCTGGAAGATCTTGTCTCCCAGGGCACTGCCAGACTTGGGGTATCACCAACAAAAGAGGCTTTTGTGCTCTCTGAAGCCTTTGTCCCTTTTGGGTGGCTGTGCCTCTGGCTCTGAGCGTGGCTCCAGGCCTTGGCACTGCCCTTCCCCACCCTGGTGTTCAGATGCTGCAGCTGAACTGGGGAAGCAAAGGAGCAGAGAACCCCAAAACCCCATTCCTTCCCCTTCCCAAACCCTCAGGGATGAGCTGAAAGATGGGAGATGAAAGGGAGCATCTTTTATTTTTATTTTAATTTTAATTTTTATTTTAATTTTTATTTTTATTTTTATTTTTATTTTTATTTTTATTTTTATTTTTATTTTTATTTTTATTTTTATTTTTATTTTTATTTTTATTTTTACTTTTATTTTTATTTTTATTTTTATTCTCATTTTTATTTTATTTTTATTTTTATTTTTATTTTTATTTTTATTTTTATTTTTATTTTTATTTTTATTTTTATTTTTATTTTTATTTTTATCTTTATTTTTATTTTTATTTTTATTTTTATCTTTATTTTTATTTTTTTATTTTTATTTTTATTTTATTTTAGTTTAATTTTACTTTATTTTTATTCTTATTTTTATTCTTATTTTACTTTATTTTTATTTTTATTTTTATTTTTATTTTTATTTTTACTTTTACTTTTATTTTTCTTTTTAGTTTTATTTTTATTTTATTTTTATTTTTATTCTTATTTTATTTTTATTTTTATTTTTATTTTTATTTTTAGTTTTAGTTTTAGTTTTAGTTTTAGTTTTAGTTTTAGTTTAGTTTAGTTTAATTTTACTTTATTTTTATTCTTATTTTTATTCTTATTTTACTTTATTTTTACTTTTATTTTTATTTTTATTTTATTTTTATTTTTATTTTTATTTTTAGTTTTATTTTATTTTTATTTTTATTTTTTATTTTTTATTTTTTATTTTTTATTTTTTATTTTTTATTTTTTATTTTTTATTTTTTATTTTTTATTTTTTATTTTTATTTTTAATTTCCACACAAACGGGGCTTTGTAGCTGCTCGGCTGCTCAGAACAGGGCACCTGGAGCTGCTCGGTGCTCGAGGAGAGGGAAAAACCTGGCTGGGATGTTGAACTATATCCTGGGAACCAGGGGGCAGCTCCTGGGGGGGACACACCGGGACAGACCCCTCGGTGCTGGGGGGACACACCGGGACAGCCACCGCGGCGCCCCAGGGACCCTCTGCCCCGGCTCCCGGCGCTCATTTAATTACACTGGACTGGAGGGGGGGTCAGCTAATTGCAGAGGGCGATTGATTGGGAAAATGTCATCTCCAGCGGCCTCTGTTGCCAGGGTGACCTCGGCCGGGCTCGCTGCGGGGAGGAAGGTGATGGGGAGGAAGGTGATGGGGAGGAAGGTGATGGGGAGGAAGGAAGGACTCCACGAAGGACTCATATGGGGACATGGGGACATTTATGAGTTATTTCCTGTAGATTTGGTTTTTTTGTTTGTGTTTCTGTGCAGAACTTTTTGTCTTCCTTTTTCTTTGTAGTAATAGAAGCGGTTAGAGGTGGTGTTGTAGTGGGAGGTTGGTAGTTTTGATAGTTATAAAATGGTGTTTGTGGTGCTGTGCATGATTGTATTGGGGGTTGTTATTTTGTTGTGTGGTAACTCTTTGTAAGGTGCTGTTATTTTGTTTTAAGGGAGTGTGGTTAGTAATGGTGTAAGATTTTGCATAACAGTTTTTTGGTTTGGAGTTGGGACTTGTAAGTTTTCACTCGAATTTTCAGTTAAAAGTTCAGGAGTGTTCTGTTTGTTTAGAACTGTTATTTTTGATGTAAATTCGTGTACAAGGCTGTACGTGTGGACAAGGGGACATGTGTGGGGACACAGATGGGGACATGGGGACACAGGGACAGAGCAGCAGCGTTCAGGGAGCTCCTGGCTGTGCTGGAAATGCTTTATGGGCTGCGGGGCTGGCGCTGGGTGATCGCCTCCGGGTCCCTGTGGTTAATTACAGGCAGTAATTAACGTGATGACGGTGTGCAGGATGAGTGGGGGCAGACACCAGGCTCTGGCCTCATTAGCTGCCGTCACTAACGAGGTGCCCTCTGTCCTGGCAGAGTCCCAAAGGGGTGTGAAAAGGGACAAGATACCATGCAAGCAGTAGGTGCAAAAGGAGAGGGGTTTAAAGTCTCAGTTATGAAGGAAGAAAAGTTTGAAGGGGCAAATAAAGTAGGAATTGGGGGTGTTCTGTTAGTTCCAGAAGCCGAGTGCAATTTATTAGGACAGAATTTACAGGTGCAGTTGGACATTGGAGTACTCCCAGAGGAAGGAAAAATGGTGGTTAAGCTTCTCCAATTAAGGGAAGAGAATGAGGACAAAATCCACGAGATGGTGTGGGTAAAACCCAAAAATCGAGGTAAATTGAACATAGTAATAAAAAGAGTTGATGAGAACCATCCAGTTCAGGTATAACAATATCCACTCTCCCTGGAGGGGACCTTGAGGAGGAACCTTAGAACCGTGTGTGTCCCCCATAATACATCAATATCAGCAGTAAAAGAGTCAGATGGACCTTACAGGCTCGTCTAAGATTTAAGAGAAGTAAAAAAAGAACAGTGAATTAGTACCCAGCAGTGCCTAACCCTTGTACACTACTGAGTAACATCCCCCCAGCACACCAGTGGTTTAGTGTGATTGACCTAAAAGATGTTTTTTGGGCAGGAGAAAGTCGGGATGTATTTCCCTTTGAATGGGAGGACCCCGATTCAGGGAGTGGACCAGGTTCCCGCAAGGATTTTCCGAATCCCTGTGGGAATTTGAGGGTATTGGTGATTTTGAGATTGTAGAAAGTCTCTGTCTTTTTGCTTCGTTGTTAAAGAAGAAGCCATAATTTGTTTGTGCTGTTTTTAAGGTTGTTTATTTTTGCTTATCTATAATAAGTTTTGTTGCCCTGCTGCAGCTCTGTCCTGCAGGGCAGCGTGTGGGGCTCTGCCCTCAGTGGGATGGTACAAACATTAAAT